CCATCGAAATCCACAATGAACACGCTCCCTGACGAGGTTAGTTCTAATCCATCTTCTCCAATCGACACCCTGGATAATATTTCCTCGGGGTCTCCGCGACTAGGACGTGCTACATTGGCAAACGGGAATGAATCACAATGACGCTGAGGTCGACCACCCTTACTCGTCCACAAAATTTGGGGCTTGTCGCTCGTCAAGTTCCTCATATTCCGCGACTTTGTGCAATTCTGCAAGTGAATCACCGCGTGAAACCGAGAGTATCACGACCGGCTCTGGGCTTGGCGATATCAGAGCCGTGACAACGTGACCCACGCGACAAAAACCCATCATTCGACGATAATGCAATATCACTACGCAACTGCGCTCATTTCTGACTACAGCTTTGGTTTTCCTCTTTCTTCAGATTCTGGAGCGGATCCTGATGCACCTACATCCGCTCGATCGACTCCAATGCGCCTTGACATGTCGTCGATGGGCAGAACTTGGATCGACCCATCGGCTGCTGAAGGATGTGGCGTTCGTTGTTCCGTACAACAACGTCGGAGGAGCCAGGAGCGCGCTGGTGAAAAGCCAGCGTCGCTACACGAACCTACAGATTGGCTCTCGAAGATATCAGCCCGGAAATATTAGGCTGGTCGACTTCGACTCAGGATTCTGGGTCGAAGTCGGCAGAAACCTCCGCTCGCTGGATATCCGCCGTTGCGATGTGGAACCTGAGGGATTCGGTTCCATACTCCGGCACTGCAGGATGCTGGAATTTCTCGGAATCCAAGGTAAGAAGAGTTTATGTGAACCTCTTGTGTGGACTTGATCGGGCTGGATACTCCTCTCAGAATGCTGGGGTTGGGTTGACGGAGCGGCTGGACGAGTTCCTCCGCACCGGATCCCAATGAAAAACAGGGTTCTGGAGGTCAATGTAAAACGGAGGTTCTGAATAGATTTCTTCGAAACTAACGAGGTGTCGTCTGTTACAGGGAACGCATCCCTCAGCGATCGGCTCCACTCGCTGAAGGAGCCTCCTTTCGAGCCTCTGCTCCACCTCCGACGAGTGTCCCTCTACGGCTCTCTGAAGGCAGACACACTGGATGCCTTCATCTCATTGATGCCCAACTTGGCCTCCCTCACCTTCGGGGGATGGTCAAGCGACACGGCAGAAGGGATCATGTCTTGCCTGATGAAGCCGGGACTGGAATCCCTGAACTTGGACTTCGATTCCGGGAATCTAGACCAGGACACCAAGCTCGGAATCATTGGTCTCGTGGAGGAGACGTCGGCGAATCTCCGCGGACTGGGCTTATCGGAGCTCGTGCGCAAGCTCACGTTCGTGGAAAAGCTTGCGATCGACAGTCGCGGGGGGCTCCGCCATCTCTCAATCCGAGGGCCCCTTTCCCTCGAGGATTTCCGTGTGGACAAGCTCCATTTCAAATGTCCCGATTTGGAAGCTTTCTGCTGGCGAGGTGATCTCTCTCCGTCGGGCTTGAGGTCGAGTACGGAGCTGTTCGAGGGCATGGCTCGCCTCAAGAACCTTCGGGTCTTGGTGGTGGCGAGTCGAGGTGAGGGTCCCACCTCCGAGAGCTTCGCCTCGCTTGTCGAGACCCTGGGAGAACTCGAGGAGCTCTCCATTGACTGTGGAAAACTCACCGACGCAGATGGAGTCAAGATCCACCTTTTGAAAAAGCTGCGCAGGGTGGAGTTTTCGCGAGCCACAGGATTCACGGATCGCACCTTCGAGAGGGGTCTTGGATCGACCACTCTCAAGGAGATCGCCATAACGCACAGTTCACTGACAGATGTTGGACTTGCGGGAATAGTGGCTCACCACAGTCTCTTGGAAGGTCTCCACTTGGAGGGTTGCGAGCAGATAAGCGACGAAGGGATCACATCGGCTCTTCAAGAGCTCCGTCTCCTCAGAGATCTCTCGCTCGTGATGTGTCCTATGCTGACGGACCTAGTTCTGGAAGAGGTACAGATCTCGTGTACGAGACTCCGCACTTTCGAAGTGTGGACTCCTTTCGAGAGTGGCCAGGCTAGGAACCGATAGGCGACGAGATGAACGCTCACGACTGAATAAGTCGTCCCAGCAGGAAGGTATGATGTGCCCTGTCTGGCACATCGGAGTCGGGCGTTCTCAAGTCGGGGATGATCGCGGAGGAAACGGAAGGGGCAACGTATGCTGGAGGATGATGATGCCGCTATGGTGGACACTCATCGACATTTCCATCGCGACCCGACGGCGCGAACGATTACGATGAGTGTTGATCCTGCTTTCTGCCAGGAGGGATTCCGAGTTGCGAGAAGTGTGACAATAAATGGACGGAAATCGAGCGGGTGCTAGCAAGAGTTTTTCATTTCATACCTATAATTCATCTAGTCAAGTTCTCAAACGATCGTTCGCACACCTCAATTCTCTCCCGTTCGCGACTTTCTTGCGAATAGTGAGACGATGTGGGTCTCGAGGCTCCTGTGAGTGGAAGCACCTCAATTCATTGACTTTTGTAGGTTGTAAGTACCAAAGTGGAGAACATTTTCACAAATATGTATTGGCACATTGGATGGACACACACATCTAGTGAGAGAGATCACAGGGAAGATGCTGCCCGAGGGGTTTAGGGGCCAAAGACCTTCTGGAGCAAGGTCATCGAGCCAGCTCGCGACGTGTCTGCTTACCGCGTGCGAGTGGTGAATTTCTGGCGTCCGATATGTGATCTCATCCGATGAACCAGACCCATCGAGGCAGATGAGCTCTGCTCGCTGAGCTCTTTTCCGAGAAGGAGACAGCTCCTCCTTTCACCGGCCGTGCGCCGAGCAGAACCAGTTCGTATGCCGGGTGCATGTGAGCCAAATATTCGTGACCACAACCTTCCCGGAAACAACTCGGCGACCGGTGTTGATTGAGCTGCAACTCCAGGAACGCGACTCCGAACGAGTTTCTACTGCTGAGCGGTTTCGAAGATGTACTTAGATCATGATCTTTTCTCTGATGAGGAAACAGTACACCGCGGGGGCTCAAGGCTGAAACCCCGGCTCGGGCTCCAGGATTCTGAGCCGAGCTAATCAGCTTTCGACGATCGGCCTCCGCTTTGAGGCTCGCGGAAAGATCTCGAGGCGTCGGAAGTATCTACCAGCAAGAACAAGAAGTAGGGAAAGTTTTGTTACGTCGGGATATCATCGAATTAGCAGGCCAATCTTTCAGTCCTTCATCCGTCGCGTGACCATCTATGGATTGCCTGAACTTTGCAGCTCGCTTCTTTGGAAGCTAGTCCAGTATCATCAGAGAATAAGATACTCCAAGTTCATCCTTGTCGCGCATGATCTTCAGTTCTCCTTGGTCGTCGGGGTCTCGTGGTCGACGGCAGAGTGCATTTTCATTGGAAACGTCGAGCGGTGTCTGGTGATCGAAGAGTATTGAGAATTCCGTATCGACCGCCCCTCTCGTGATGGCCGGATAAGCTTCCTGGATAGCGATTAGGAACCCGTTATCGCCTCATGGAGCGAATTGACCGCTCCTCGCGGAAAAGATACGCGCTTGCGTCAATGAGGTGCAGCTATCCAGTCGATTTAGCCGATGAGGAGTACGGAATCCGACTCCTGCTCGCCCCTGCGATTCCGGCGCATTAGCTGACTCAGTACACTCGGAACGGTCAACACGGCAGCGGCGTAACCAGACCGAACCTCGCCCGGGCACGTCGCGAGAATTTTCCTCCTTCATGATGAGTTCGCTATTCGTTCGAGCGCGATCCTCCGAATCCGCGTCCTTTGGGGAAAAACTCGCATAGATGTCCTCAGCCTTCAGTCTGCGATCCATCGATTTCGCTCGCCTGAAGAGCATGTTCCCCTTCCCCTCTCTACCCGTTGCAACGGGTCACTTCTGGGAGGAAGCGTCATTCCCCAACTTGGACCGATTACAGAGAATAAAGATTCCGAGATAACTGGTTCGACGAGCCCCTCTATAAACACTCCGGGCCGCCGTCCGAAGAAGCTGATGAGTGAGGGCTCATCAAGTGGAGAGTCCTGGTGCTCCGAGCATAAACAGGCAGGAAGATGCCTCGTACGATTATTCCTTGGTCTAGCCGCGGGACGCCTCCTCTGTCTTGCTCTCTTGACTAGAAGTCCGGTTGACTCTGTGTGGAGCATTGTGGAGTGGAGAAAGTTTTCCGGTGGTGATTCCGTTCTACCTGAGCTCAGTCCGCTCAAGGAAGACCTCCGGCCCAAGCCTCATCGAGTTCAGTCAAAACTCACAGAATTCTGAGCTTCCTCTTCATCGATTTGGAGAGATTTACCCGAGAAGAGGAGCGCAACTCCTAGACACCCGTCACATCACGGTAGGTGCCGCCTCAGGAACGTTAGCCTTGATGTTCCAGTGCAAACTCGTGAGATAGCAGTTTTCTCTAGAGATTGGAATTTGCTGTGTAGATGCGAGTGAGGAGGATTGACCGCCGGTCACGCTCTATGAAGGACCTATAATATGTATGCCCCTGTGGAATTCCTCGCCCTAGAAGCAAGGTCCGCTACCGTGGACCTTCCGAACTAGGGCATCGGTGACAATGTGATCTTACCGAGGTGGGAAATCTACTCTACTGAATGATGTAGACTGGATACAGATGAAAGAAGTCGCAGACACCCAGCCTTCGAGCTTCTGATGATTCAGAGTACCCCCTTCGCTCCGTGCAGTTTTGCTCGGAGACCTTGCCCATACCATGCTCTGTGGATTGTAACTGATAGGTACTCGTTCCTCAGTGATTTTCCCATACACTTCGAGATGGTACTTAGGCCTTAGAGCGATAATTCGCCGATAGGAACTGTCAAGAGCAAAATGTCAGGGAAGTCTGTTGTCAGGTGCACGTTAGCATGAGAGACCCTCCCAGGGCCAAAGACGTTAGTCGATAGTGAGCCGCCGTAGAAGATGGCAAGCGCGACCCTCAATCCAGTCGAAATACCACCAATGAACTTATGAGGTAAAATGAGTCGGGACGTTCCTCCCCTCGAGCCTGTCACCCAATAAGAAATCTGCCATGAGCAGCGGTGGCATACTTGGATCGGACCTGAAATTGAACCCAGGTTCGAATGTGCAGGTGGAGACGGCGCGGCTCAGCAAGTTCAGGAAAGGATTTCGAGGAAGATTCAGGATGGAGGACAAGTAAGCGTTTGTTTGAGTGGAATAAGGTCGAGGGACAAAGTTATGGATACTGCTGTGGAAATCGACAAATTCTCAGAGAAAGGTACTGTTGCCGAGGCTGAAGGATGACTAGATACCTCGATGCTAGCAATAATAATAGATGGCCGACGGTCTCAAGCGTATACTCAGAGTGAGCTCTTCACAAACTGGGTCGTTCCTGCGGCATTTTTGCATAAAACTTTCGGCGGCAGAGTACAGAGCCCCGAGGAAAATAGAGGGGATTTGGGGAGGCGTGTGTACCCAGTGGCCTTAGGTGGCGGATCCCGAGAGTTGTGCCTCTCGTCAAGAATTCCATCCCAGAATTCCATTTCACATGCGGAATCCTTCTGGAAACTTTCTTTTTTTCTGCGTGCCATGGCGCCCCCGGAACTAAACGGATGAGAGGCGCCTGGGCGCTTCGATACCAGGGACAATACGAATGTGTATCAAGTGCATCACCAAAGAGCGGTCGGGTCATCGAGGAGGAATTTGCAATGCAATTCGTCCGAAATCGGGAGGAAACGAACATCTCATAGTGATGAGTTGACGGGTAGGCGAATTCTATCTTACGGCAGGTAGTCCCGGCAACTACAGCGGCAGGCTCAATGGAATTCCCAGAGAAAGCATTCATGATGTGTGGAAGACCGGTCAGATTGGTCTCCGATTGAGGTACCGCGCACATGGCGAGAGCCCTCGGGGAGTTCGTCATCGCGAACGGAGGGGAGGATGAGGAACGGCCTATCAGAAGGAAACGCTTTCAAGGGGAATATTCTAAGAGGACCACAGTTAGGTAGCGAGGCAGAGCGGGTTTGAACGAGTCTCGGTCAAAGAGTATCAGGCATGCATCAGAAACCGAGCATATATGCAGGTGTCGGCGAGACCCACGGACGGAAGATGTACCGGGAGAAATGTTGAGTTCAAGCTCCCGAGATCCGCGCTGGCGTCGACGAAGCTAGATATGACCAATACGGAATCAAGGGAGACATCCGAATGGTGGGCCTTCGGAGCGCAGGGTCTACCGTTGACCAAGTGGCCCAGCTCTATCCTCATATGCTCCTTCTCTTCTATTGTCAAATATTGGCAAACCGAAATGGAATCGGATGACACGACCGCCCTGCATTGACGTCTCTCCTCGCTAAGCCCCCGTTCGATGTCTTCCGGTCGTTCATCAAAGGCCGTCTTGGTTCCGGAAATCGGATGAATGCTGATCTCGGATTGGCACAGGAGACAACATTCGCCCATACTCCCCGCTTCGATGGGGACAATCAGCAATTGAAGCACCCCCGGGACGCTAGGTGTCCGCAACCGGTGACGACGGCATTTCTTCGTCCGATCGGAAAACCACCAATATATCGGTGGGGTGGAATATGGCGGAGCCTTCCTCCCTCATATTCCTTCCGCCGACGGGAGTATCCTCACAGAACCTTGTCCTCGAGGGCATACAGCTCATGAATCCGAAATTGACGCTCACGACTAGCCGGCTCGATGCGCTTACGCTGAACTTGAGAGAACCCGTAGAGGATCTCTCTGTGGGCACAGGCCTCCACTTTCAAGATTGGCCCGGCTCCCGACAAAATGCCCCCCTCGATTTCATATTATCCGGATCTCCCTCTCTCGATACACCCTTAGAGATAGCCCGCTCCTTGACTTCTAGAGCTTCAATTGACCCAGACTCGAGCGGAAAAAGATACTGCAGAGTCGGCCGCCTCTGATATGCTGATATCGATACTTCGAAAGTCTCTAACATCTTGAAATTTCCAGATTCACGTGCGGCCCGTCGGCAGGCAAGACCCAGACGATATTGCTCCCGACAGATCCGTCTCCACTCTCACCATGTTCTTCGCGAGGCTGGTGGAAAACGGATTGAGATCCACCAACATCACGACTTTTTTCACCAGTCTCATACTCTCGGCAGCTATTGTCCGCGAAATGAGGTCGAGAGCCGGCGGCGGATTCGGCGTATTCGACGTCTTATTCCTCCGTCTACTCTTGTCCCCCCTCATTGAAATATTATACCTGCTTTGTCTAGTGACGTGCGAATACTACCATCCGAACCTGTTCGTTGAGGCTCCGGCAGTCCGTCGCCGACACCGTCCGGTTCGGAGCATGAACCACGAGGTCTGGAGACAGTTCCGGGAGTTCTTCAGACCTTGTCCCCGGAACATAGTCAAAGCCATATTATGCTGCATAATGTCGAAGATCATCTTGCCAGCTGAACCTCTCGGTCAGGAGTATTTTATTCCCGTCGAGAAGTATCTCTTGAGCTTCTTCGTGTCGCTCGATTTGGTGTCCGAAGGTGTCGAGCTGAGCATTGCGCTCGGGCGAACGATAGCCGAGTCGTTCCTCGAAAGAGTCTTCGGGATGCACGGGATCGTTCATGTCGAAGACGAAGACGAGATACTCAGGATAATCGATGAAATACGGGTCGAGGAAGCTCTCGGCCCCTTCTTCGAGAACTTCGAGAACTTCGACAACGTCGGCGCCGCGGCAGGCTAGGCTCTTCGGGATTCCTCACGGACCGGGGCGGGACTGTATAAGCTCTGGGGAGGACGAGATACGAGACGGACCGGGGATCGTCATATCCCGAATCGGCGCGGAGATGACCGGAGACCCTAGATTGTTGTAGATACTAGTCCTGTGATGCTTTTATATTTTCCTATTTATTTAGGTAACAATAAACTTCTTGTCGATTTCCTCATCATCACCACGGTCTGTCGTTCCCGCTTGAAAAGTTCGTCGCTCGGTTCATCCAATATGATTTTTCCCCGTCGCTTCACGACTCGGAGAACATCTGACTCCGGCAGTGCGACTAGTGAACATTCGCTCACGAGACATACCTCTCCCGAGAAAGGAAAATGTCCGCGCGGATACTTCAACGAGAAGCGGACCTCGAAAAGAAGTACTGGTCTATGTTTTCGATGATCCGCTCTGGAGAATATTTCCGATCCGACCCTTGGCTCGTGCGCGCTGACGGGACCTCGGTTCCACGGACGGGAAAATAGCGTGGGAGTTTATTTTCCAACAGGAATGGGTGTTACTTCCCCGAAAATTCCAAGAAGCGGACACTTTCTCAGAAAGCTAAAGAATCTGACCAAACTGACGGGGAAGGACGTGTCCTTTTCTATCGCAACTCTGATCATGAGCATGTTTGTAATACAATTAATTCAACTCCGATAGAGTAAGTCCCATGCGGTAGCTGAACCTTGAAACGTGGAACTTCATTCCGAGTAGCTTTCTTGTTATTGGACCGACTCCGATGCTCAGCAGAGAACATCGAAGAACGTGGATGTAGCACATCCCCATCAGCCAAGTAATCTCGATGTCAGACTGATTCGGACGAGAGCCTCGTAAATGCCGAGTTCTGGTGCGATACGCCGTGTCTCCGGGGAAACCAGATTCCGAGACCCTAGATGCCCAACTCCCTGAATTCATCTCCTGCATTCTGAGATCGTTCTTCGGGCGTGTCAAGAGATGCCGCAATGCAACCGATCTACCTATCTCCACTGCGATCGCAAGCAAATCTTCGTGATTCGGGACGGTTTCGTGCGGAATCCCGCCATGCAGAAGTCGAGACCCCGTAGAGCCCAGTTATCGAGGTCCAGAATAGCGCCTCTTTGCGCTCGGAGTATCAGGGAAAATATATATGAGTTATTGCGCTTCCATTGAGCATAGTACGAGGATTCGAGATGCTGCTTCCTGTACAGTCAGCCTTATGTACATTCTGCTTAGTTCGTGTAGAGTTACTCTTCCGGCGCGGCACCGGGAGGCATGATACTTCTCACACAGCTGGGATATGAAGGAGATCAGGGAAAATCAACTCTGTCATTTTCATGCTCGACATCAGAGAGGGAGGGAATATAGCGCACACAGCAGCATGCAACAGCTGCTAAACCAACGGTAAACAAAGAGATCATCCCTCTCTTTCTCTCTGACTCGTTCCCGCTCTGCTGAGTGACGGCTGACGACCACAACAGTCACCAGAGCGTGTCTGGGATCGGTACGTGTGTATCTAGATTGCTGTCTGGACTGCTGCTAACGCTCTGCTAGTGCTCCTGCGATACGGTCGTCGTCGTGTGTGGTGTTATTACGGATTCTGACGTGGCGTTCATTTCTGAGTCCCATGCCATCATTTGCGCCCGTTTGATTGTTGAACAGGGCGATTCTTGCCGCAATGAAGAGGCCGATTCTATTGGCCTTGCTGTTGTTGGCACTCCACGTCGAAGACTCGGTATCTGACGAACATACTCACATAGTAAGCCTCGTTCTCTCACCGATTCCAACCTTATAACTTTCCTCGAATGAAGCTCCATATTGTTAGGAAACTGGCAAACGCGAAATGAGCGCGCCCTCTTCAAGCAAGTCCGACAGGCAGCGTTCCGACACTCCTCCAGCGGAGGGTGCCCAGGAGACTCGGAATTTTCTGTAGGCTCGTTAAGTCTCACCGGCCGGTTGACAGCTGACCGTAGCAGTGCTCGCGCTCTAGTCACACGACCCGCATTGTTTGCCTCTTTCACAAAGGCGACACTAGTGGAGTGGAATAATCCTACTTCTAGGATCTGACGCAGGGCTTCCCGTCGAAGTTCAAGGAGTCAGCCCTCCGGATTTCTCTCCTCAACACTTCGTTTTTTTGACAGCTCGGTCCTTCGATCATCTGGTCGTTCTGTATCGAATTTGAATACTTTTCGAAAATCCTAGACGCGAATGACTTCTCCTCGATAAAAAGAAAATCCGCGATGTAGTCGAGTTAGGCATCCAGTGTACGTTCAAGGTTTGAGGACTTCCACCAGATGTTGCTCAGGCTTCTTTTTCTGCCTGCTGTTCGCCTCACAATGAACATTCTCTCGCGTTCCTCCATAAAACCAAGAGACTTCTGATTCGGGGAGAAGGCGACGAAATTCCTCTCGAAAGATCAACTGGATTCGATTATCATGATGGTCCGTGAAAATCCCGCGCTTGATCCGCAAAGGACCCTGGGAGATGCGATATTTCGCCTTCGAGAAACTTTTCTCATTCATCGATCATTTTCCTTTCCAGTACAACGATGCTGAGGAAGTCGTGCTCTGGATGAACACGGTGGGCCCGTATGCGAATCCAGAAGAAACATACGCATACTTCTCGTTGCCCTTCTGTCCCGGCCAGAAGACTCGCATCGGGCACTACCATGAAACTTTGGGAGAAAATTTGTTGGGAGTTGAACTCCAGTTCCTTGGAGTCGACATCAAGTTCAAAAGTGAGCCCCCTCATCTTACACACAGAAGAGAGAGAAGCTAGGAGGCCCACACGGTTTTGAGCGCCATTCTCACACAAATGAGAAACAGTATCCTTGCGAATCGAGATGCTAGTAATTGATTTGTCGGCTACCGATGGCCTACCCTATCTTATATCTTCGCGTAGTCAACGGCATTAGAAACTCCTCGTGACGCTGTGCATCAGAGGCTAATCACATGGAGCTAATACTAGGAGTCCGGGCCCGACTCGGACCGATGCTGACTTCTAGATCCCTCAAGAGCCCGGATCGATATTCATATCGTCCGAAGTCGCGCTCCTCTCATATCAATGCGTGTCTTCCGCGAGAACTCTCAGATTCTCCTCCTGCAAAGGACTAGTTTGCATTGGATCCTCAAATGACGCAGAAGATCGATATATGTAGAATGTCCAGACGGATACCATTCGATGATGGGTCGTGGGGTAATGAAATCTCTAACAGCTTCCGTGCGTAAGAGATGAGGCATACCCTGTAAGCGACTGCGAAGTAATTTCCGTTATCCTGCCGAGTCTCAAGTTCTGGTTCTGCTCTCCTCAACCCACAGCGAAACAGCCCAAAGAAGTATACTGCAAAGTAGAGTTGACCAAGGAGAATCTTCAAGCATTTGTGTACGCCGTGAAGAATTCCTATTGGTACCAAATGTATGTCGACGATCTTCCCGTATGGGGTGAGTGTCAGAAGGAGAGAGTATCTCTCACAATGCCATTCGACTCATCTGAATCCTGGACAAAAGTTGTGATCTCACGAGACCTTGTACCCCACAGGAATGGTTGGCAAGACGGACCCAACGGAGAATGCCTTCTTCATTTGGACCCACAAGAAGCTCGAGTTCGGTTACAATGGCGATCGCATCGTGTACGTGAACCTGACTTCCGAAGGTTAGTCGCTCTTGATCCTACTCTCGACACTAGGAGGGAAGTCTTCAAGAGCTGAATGCCCCCGAGCGTCGTCTTCTTTCATTCCATTTTTGAGAATCTGATCGATCCGATTGTGTGGGATCATTCAGACGAACGAACGTTTAGGACGAGATTGCGGGATTGATGCTGCGTTCGGGAATCGGGAAAAGGAATTTGAGGGAGACGCTCTAAACTAACACTCTCACCATGACTCGATTTCAGGTCTGGAGAAACTCGAATTCGGAAAATCTATACCGTTCTCGTACGAAGTCGATTGGAAGCCTTCGACCGTGAATTTCAAGGACCGCTTCGACAAGTATCTCGACCCAACTTTCTACCAACATAGGGTGAGGAGAATTGATCGGATATCCCAATGTTATCGTGGTCGTCGATTGATCAGACGATACTCTTTCGTTCCGCTCCTCTCACCCTTCGAGTTGATCAATTCGTGCAGATCCACTGGTTCTCGATATTCAACTCGTTCATGATGGTGATATTCCTCATCGGACTCGTCACGATGATACTCATGAGGACCCTCCGCAAAGATTACGCGCGGTACTCGAAAGACGAAGAAATGGATGATATGGTGAGCGTTTTGTTGACTCATACTGCCGGATCAGGCGGAGTCGATGGACATCGAAATCGGTTAATAATTCTGCTAGAGAGTAATGCGCACTCTGCCAATCAAGGAGCGCGACCTCGGAGACGAATACGGCTGGAAGCAAGTTCACGGGGACGTGTTCAGAGCACCGAGTTATCCCCTTATCTTCACCGCCGCCGTCGGATCCGGATGTCAACTTGTCGCAGTAGCCCTGATTGTCATAATTTTCGCGATCATGGGGGAACTATATACCGAAAGGTTTGTACCTCGAAGCTCAGTCTTTCGAGCTCGGAATCCGTACTCGGACAATGGGGTGGGTTCCGGGTTCTTGGAAGAGAGAAATGCGGAGTTCCGCTAACACAAGTTTCGTTCCAGGGGATCACTCTTATCTACGGCCATCTTCGCATACGCGGCCACTTCGCCAGTCAACGGGTACTTCGGGGGTAGTTTGTATGGAAAAATGCAGGTTCGTGTCCGAAAGTACATGCTCACAAACAAAGTTCCGAGTTCTAATAATGACGCGTTGTCCAGCGCGCATACGGTTGGCCAGGAGGTGGATCATGGAATTTTAACAAACGTTCTATTTTAATCCAATTCAGGGCAAGCAGTGGCTCCGACAAATGTTAGTTTCCGCTATGGCTCTCCCGACCGCTGTGTGTTCCATCGCATTTGCAATAAACTTAATCGCCATCTATTATCACGCAACGAGGTACCGTAAAGGATGTTTTATCGAGGAATGATCAACCAGTATCGGGTTCTAGAGCATCGATCGACGATCAGCATTCTGAAGGGGATACCCGAATTTCAGGGCCATTCCATTTGGCTCCATGGTTGCCGTCGTGTCAATATGTTTATTCATCGTGCTACCTTTAACTCTAGTGGGGACGATACTCGGCAGGTCTGTATGATTTCCATTCTAACGAAAGCATCGAGATATCCATGCTTTATCTACAGGAGCACAGAGATTATTCCTGAAATTCGACTCTCGTTTAGGAACCTGGGTGGCTTACCTCAGTATCCTTGTCGGGTCAATGCAGTGCCGAGACCCATCCCGGAGAAGAGGTGGTTCATGGAGCCCCCTGTGATAATCGCATTGGGAGGGGTGAGTGGAATCTATCGCTTGTGAGAAAATCTATGAGAAAAATGGTCAATCGCTCAGCGGAAGCGAGAATGGGACTCAACTCGGCATTCTCTCTATCTGACCTTAGGTCCTTCCATTCGGATCCATCTTCATCGAGATGTATTTCATCCTGACGTCATTCTGGGCCTACAAGATCTACTACGTCTACGGATTCCTTCTACTGGTGATGATTTATTTAGCGTTACCGCTGCAGTGTGAGCTCTGCAACTCCGAAGGTTCATGAAACGTATTCTCAACTCTATACTTGACTTTTTTTCCAGGTATTCATCATCCTTTGCATTGTAGTTGCGTGCGTAACAATCGTCTGCACTTACTTCTTATTGAATGCCGAGGACTATCGCTGGCAGTGGACATCACTGCTGGCGGGAGCGTCAACTTCCGGTTATGTGTATCTTTATTCGTTCTACTACTTTTTCTTCAAGACCAGGTTAGAACTGTGAGGGTGAAGCGTAATTTGATGAGCTGTACAGCGACTCTGGATACGACGACCTTGCATCTCTCTTTCAGAATGTTCGGTCTATTCCAAACGAGTGTTTACTTCGGCTACATGGCCTTGTTCAGCTTAGGAATTGGTCTGATATGCGGTGACGTTACCCCCCCCCCCGTGACGAGATTGCTCTTTCCCCGAAGTACAGCTTCGTATTGTCAGAGATTCCCTGAGAGATGAACTTCTCAGAACCGTGAATTCGCCATATTCCAGGTACGGTGGGTTATTTAGCAACAAGTGTCTTTGTTCGCAAGATCTACTCGACTGTGAAAATCGACTAGAAGTCTCAGTGACCACTGGAACACCGCCACAACCACCGCCAGATGATCAAGATAACAGACGAAGTTCCATGAATGGAAGATCCTGACGGTGTTCTGAACGGAATGTCTGCTTCTTTCACGCGGGCTTGGGATGTTATTCCATTCCAACTGTGAATGCTGACTCCGTGTATTCCGATCACAATGATTTATCCAGAAGTGAGAGGTGGGGCAGGCTCCTCGAGAGAAAGATTCGGAGTCCGCCCTCAATCTAGCGAGAAGATCCTATCGAGGGTAATTCGTGAAACTTGTTATATCACAGCGGACCGCTACGCACCGTCACCAATGGATGCCGTTGAAGGCAACTCAGTCAAGTGTACATAATTACATACATGATTTTACAAATGAAGGTACAATTGATGAATCGCTAGAGCGAGCGTAGGAGTGCATATAGGGGCAAGCTTCGATCAAGATCCTATTCCTTAGGTAAAGACTCCGATGAAGATATGAATCGAATGGAAGAGTAATGATTTGATGATGAGTTTTATGCGTGGAAGAATAAAATGAATGAAAACAGATGTATTGTGGTTCCTTTCCTCCGAGGGTCGAATCGATATAGGCGGAGAACATGCAAGCAAATGAGAGCAAACGCGAAACTGTACTGTGAAATATGAGGGGCCGTCTGTCCTGTCTGCCAATTCCAGGAGGAAGGCCATCGAGAGGCAAGGACTTCATCGAGTGGCAAGGACTTCATCGAGAGGCAAGGACTTCATCGATCCGGCAACACTTATCCGACAACACGGCCGGTGATTCGATGGCCCCGCTCATCATTGCACAGCTGATCGACACCGGCCTGTCAACAAGAGCAGGCGCCCGCCGCTGGAGGGAGCTCTGTGGAGAGAAGGTGGCGACTAGTTTCGTTCTCTCTTTCCTATGTCAACAACAGCACGGCCGTCTTCATCAACACACAAACACACATAGACACACACCGAGAGCACCTGCCCGAAAGTTTTGTGAAGTTTTGTGATAGTTGGACGTTGTGTCCTCGTTTGGATCGGCATCAGAGTCTCCTAGTGCCGTCCACCGAGTCGTTCGACAGCGAAGACGGTACTCGTTTAGGCTGACGACTTCTCCAATGATTGGGCGTTAGTCGAAATTCTTTTGTTCGGACGGGTCAGAGAACCGGATGCTCGGTAGCCGAAGGAGCCAAGATACGACCGAGCTCCTCCGTTGGATAAACGACTCGTCGAAGGGAAGGATCTCCTCGCAACGGGCTGCAGGATTCGAGCCAGCTCCTGGATCGGGAAGTTATGGCTACAACAACCTCTCCGGTTCAGTTGAATTTCTCGGCACTGTTCAGCAAACTTTTATCAACAAACCCCCCGAGGTGAGCCCCCATCTCCAAATGAGAGATTCTGAGTGTCGGAGAAACCTCGGAATCTCATGAATATCCTCTGTACTCCGACGGACTGTATTCATTGCGATCGCTGACGGTCGGCGAAACATTCCATTCGCCTAACAAGAAGTCGCTGCCACATCCAATCGAATCGTAGTGCGTCGCCAATCAGAGATCACTGTAATAGAGGGCCTCATGAAACGGGGCTGAGCAATACCTAGCAGTGTCGGGCGGTTGTCAGAGATTCTGACGGTTCCGTCATTTTATTACCTATACACAATCGGATCGATTCCGGGACTCTATAATTTCCCTCCGATGACTGATGAGCGTCTGAAGGACCCGCTTGTCCCTCGTAGTGGAGAGCAGGCGATTTCGTTCGACAATCCATCCTCTGGGATGGCGGACGCAAGCGTAGTTCTGCGGTCTTACTCGAGCAATCCACGTTCCCCTTCAATGGTCTCCGAGCTTATTCAGGCTTCAGACAAGTCCGGGAACCATGTACATGCTGGCAGTGCAGCGTTCTCGCGTCTCGTATCATCGAAACGGATACATGTCGGGATCAATGGAATATTCATCTGTTGGCTTCAGTCACAAACGCGCGTCAAAGTGATATCCGAGTAAATTTAGAATTCGCTTGACGCCCGATGCATGTTGTATTTCCCTGACGCCATATTCTGTCCTCGACGATCGCAGTGTCGAGATGAATCACTGACTGGGTCGCTCTTTCCGACAAATCACCAGCCAGGATTTCCTGAAAAATTCCCCGAGTAACCGATGTGGAGGATCTGGTGTATGCGTGCGTGACTCACGCCTCGAAACTAGCGAACCTTTCAAAGTACCGACTGGAAAGCCAACCACAGCAGGCAAGAACCCAGCAGAACAGTCAAGTAGCGGCATGCCAACGGATGTGGCGTGTCACAATGGTCGAAATATATTTCCAAATTCGTCGACAGCGATCAGCCTCTGATATTTGCCGGTTCTCCTGCTCTCGAGTTCCATGAGTTTTTGAAGCAGCCCTCTAGACTCTAGCGGACAAGGATATGCCTGGTACTCGAGGCGAAAGCTGCCATGAAAATATCTCTGACTCGTTGGGTACTCCCTTTTGATGGTCCCAGCTGATCTCCTCACACCACCTCATTTTCCCCACGCAGTTCCGTTTCCCGAGTAGAGTAGCGGCACGAGGAATCGCGTGGTCAGCGGTTGACGTGGGTTCCTCGGAAGAAGCCGACTCTGAACTGACCGTCTCGTATTTTTTTCGGGAAGTTTCGAAATACATATCTCTCATGATCCGGGAAGAGCATATGACACAGAGGACCGCGACACATCGGTTGAAGTTGACTTAACCGATATAACTTCATCGAATCTAGTTTCGCGATCGCATGACCGAAATGTCTCTAAGGTCGTTCCTCTGTCTCTGTTCTTTTCACCGTCAAAGAAGATAATTATTCAAGCGCCGTAAGCCTTCGAGTGTCTGAGCCTTTTATCTTGTAGGATTCAGTTGCGAAGCCAGAAACCGATTGGGTGCGTCCTTGTATTTCTCTGGTGAAATATTCGCTCGAACGCCGCCCATGTAAAACGAGTATGCTCAAATCAATCAGCCGTCTCGTTCGCGAGACCCGCCCGTGCGGATGGCATCGGTAGAGACTGCTAAAGCAATGAGCTATCGAGAGATTGTAAACGTTGACTGTCGTGATCAATCTTGTTTTGTCAACATTCATACCATCGAGGATTCTACGGCCATCCACAGAGCAGGATCATCTGCACAGCATTGTCGTGCTCTCTGCTTGGAAGTTTTTCCTTTGTGACCTTCCCAGATAGACAAGGGCGGTGGGAATCCCACCCTGTCATTGTGCGCGTCCTGCCGTGAGACTTCCCGGCTGCGAGAGCTAAAACCGAAGCGCGTTGACTCGTGTCCAGGTTGTGCATGCTCATGCATTATTGCTCACTCACCACGCTCCGAGCAATGGCTTGGCGTATGGAGTCTCGAGAATGATTCATCCGTCGATGATGAGACCAGAGAGCTGAATGTGAGCGTTCGGAGCCGTTCTGTTCCATCCAGCCTAATACGTAACGACCGATATGTATTTGGACTTTCTCCAGCTGGCAGTGACCCACCCCTCTCGCTGAGAACAGATTCCACTCGATGTTCAGCGACTCCGGGGAACTAGCATTCCCCCTCATTATCACTCTCGACATCTTCGACGATCTCGCTCGATCCGTAGCCCCTTTTCCGAGCCCTTGACCTAGATCCTGCGGTGGAAATCGTACCACTCCATCGAAAAACGGGCGGGCGAGGATCATATTTCAGGAACCTAATCGGACACCATGCAAGTCTCGCCGAGAATCCTGACTGCGGGTCGTCTCTGCTGTGGTCGAGGAAGCCGACTTCCGACTCCTTCGCTCTCTCAGGCTCTGCTTCCGTTAGTTCCCCGAGGGAATATTTCTCGCGCGTAATTTTCACTCTGATTCCTCCTCCTTTTTCAGATTCGTCATCGAACGCAAGACCATTGAGAAGACATGGAAGTTGATGGACAAGGTAGGTGTCTCGAGTAGCCCAGTCGGAGGAAATAGATCCCTTGGATTTCCCGGGAGCTCGGGGATTCGTGTCAGAGCCTTACCATTCGTCTGCCCTCAACCTCAGGTGGTGAAATTTTGCCAAGATCCTCGGATGAACCTCAAGAATTCGCCTCCTTTCATCCTCGATCTCCTGCCGGACACCTATCAGCATCTGAGGCTCATATACGCCAAGTGAGTATCCCGTCCCCCGATGGAGAGCCCGCTGAATTCAGAGCAAGATATGATTCCGTTGGCCGAGCAGATGTGAGCAGTTGGCTCGATTTTCAGGTATGAGCTCGAGATGCAAATCCTGAACGAGAACGAGTATTTTCGGGAGTTCATATCGAATCTCTATCGGAAATGCAAGCAAGCAATCAAATTGTTCAAGGACGGAAAGGTATTTCGGCGGAAACGGCCAATGAAGCATTGTCTCTCACAATCCAGGGTCGCGACCCAAAATCAGACAGATAAACATCGTGTACTTGAGCGTTTTCGATTCCTCTCCTTCAGGAACGGATTTACGAGGAGGGCACGGTACACCGGAGGAACCTCACGAAGCTGTCGCTGATTTTTTCACACATGTTGGCGGAACTGAAGGTGAAGCAGCATCGCATCGCCAACGTTCGGGGGAAAATTCCGAAATCCATCTGTCGGATGGGCTCATTCCTCCGATGTAGTCATGAAACAGAATCTGAACTTCGAGCGATTGTTGCAGGCATTGTTCCCCGAAGGGACATTCGCGGGAGATACATTTCGGATCACTAAATCTGACGCTGCCGCTTTCTGGAGAGACAATTTCGGGAACCGAACGATCGTTCACTGGAGGTAATTATGCCGAGAGCACCCGAGTCTCACTTGAGCTCTTTTATGACAGATCTGGGGAGCCGATCGAGTTCCCAAGCTAAAAAGTGAACTTCGTCTCCTCACACAGAGCGTTTCGAGAAGCTTTGAACGTCGTGCATCCGATGACGAGCACTCTCGAGGCGATGGCCCTGAAAACCACAATTGATTTAACTTGCAACGATTACATATCCTGTTTCGAATTCGATGTCTTCACGAGGCTGTTCCAGGTACGTGGAGTCTCTCCCTCTGCCGAAAGTATTAGCAGAGAGAGCATCTTTCCCCAAGTAACTTTCTCCTTAATTCAAGCCTTGGCAATCGCTCCTGAGGAATTGGCAAATACTCGCAGTCACTCATCCGGGTTATGTAGCTTTCTTGACATATGACGAGGTGAGCATTAGTAAAGACACAAACGTATTCGAGGGTGATCGATGAACGGACGGACTCCCAAACACCCCCCAATCTCCGCAGGTTAAGGCTCGTCTCTCTCGGCTGGAAATGGCTGGTGCCTACGTCTTCCGACTGAGCTGCACCAAACTCGGCCAGTGGGCTATAGGGTAAGCGGCACATTGAGATTTCATCGATATATCGTGGAGAATCAGTGTCGGTAAGATGCGGGATGGTGGGAATATATTCCTCGCGAGATGGAAATGAATGATTCCATGCAAATTCCACAGGTATGTCACATCAGACGGCAGCATCCTTCAGACTATTCCACAGAACAAATCCCTATGCCAGGCCTTGCTGGATGGCTACCGAGATGGATTCTATCTGTTCCCCGATGGGCGGACAATCAACCCTGATCTATCTTTCGCCGTCAGAGAGGAACCCGAAGACCATATCCAAGTGAGACTTCTTGATCTCGAACGAAGAATAAGACTCGGAGTTCAGCGAGTGAATAGTCGCGTCCCTCGCTACGAAATTACCGGGAAGCCATCGTAGCTCTCGGGTGGAAACGGCTCTTCATATTCCATTGTTTTCCAGGTGACCGAGGAGCAGTACGAGCTCTACTGTGAGATGGGATCAACCTTCCAGCTGTGCAAGATCTGTGCAGAGAACGACAAGGTACGCTCACCGAGTACTGTACTCGTATTTAGCGGCTTCGCTGATGACGTTTCGATTCCGTTTACTCAATACGGGTTTGCTTTTCAGGATGTTCGAATCGAGCCTTGTGGTCACCTGCTTTGCACGCCATGTCTCACGTCGTGGCAGGACTCCGACGGTGTCGGTTGCCCCTTCTGTCGGGCGGAAATCAAAGGAACCGAGCAGATCGTAGTCGATCCATTCAAAGATAAAATAAAGAGGAACGCTGCGAGAGCCGACAGGTCGAACGGGAACGCAAGCTCGGCGCAGGACGCACAAGCTAGCAGAGCTCTGATCGATCTTAATAATGATGAGGACACAAGTGTTTGAGGATGAATATTGGATTCAGAAAACAGCGACATCGACCCAGGCTTCCCTGCATGTCTCGACTGTGAGACGCTCGATTGAGCCACGCGTCAGTCGAGGGGTTTCAGCACCTTGTAAACATTTCCTAGCTATCCGGAGGGTGTACATATCCGAAGGAAGAAGTTCCTTTCGAATCCTTGTTATGAGATCATCCAAATCACACCGTGACCTTGACAAGAGCCAAAGGCTGATCGACAATCTTACCTCAATCGTTGTGAACTTACATAGTTTTTAATTGAAAGAAGAGAGAAATGGGTACATTCAACCTCGCAGAGAACGGATATCTCAGCCAAGAAAGCTCCGAGAATGTGATCGCGATGATGAGAAAAATCGCTTGACGGAGGAGAATGCCCTTACGAACGAGACAACTTGACCAAGGGAGAGACGACGCGATGAACTCACATTGGAAGGAACTGCGATACTCCAATGATTTTCTATAGCAATAGCAGTCAAACTTTGTATACAAAAAATCACTAAGAAAGAGAAACGCCAGAAATCATTGCTCAGCATCCTTTGCGGTAAGATCATCGTGAAAGCGACGATTATTCCTGGGAATAAATCTTGTTTTCCACGAAAAATTCCTGGATGTGGTATCTCGGGTCCTGACTCCTGACGTATTCGAGACCGACGGAGCTATTTTTGAAATTCTGCAGGCTCAACATCTGTGGCGGCACCCTCCTTTCTCGTGACGCAGCTCGGACTTCCATGAAGCGAGCCAAATTCGAGCCGCTAAAATATACAAATTTATTCTTTTCTGGTTTCTCTCCGAGCGCGACTCGCTCGATTCTGTACACATTTCGCTTTCTAGCTAGATCCATTATTACAGTTCCGCGCACTCATCCGGGAACCTGGACGCGTCCGTGAAAGCAAGTTTCCGGACAAAGCGCCCCGCAGTTTCGTTCACTCAGAACACGCCAGCAATCTTGAGGATAATCAGCAACACGACGACGGAAACGACAACACCAATTATGATCCACATCTTCAAGTTCTGAAGCCACATCTTGCGACGCACTCGGCCAGATTGAGCGCGGAAGGTCACGCTCTGCAACGAGAGAATATCGGTCAACTCGACTTCCGGGTGATCTTCGGAGCCTGATTTCTGGCAGGGATCGTCCGCAGATGAGAAGAACAGCACGAACCTGACTCTCTAAGTTCTCGGTTTGATCCACCAAATCGTCCATTCGAGCACCTCTGTCGAGGGCTTTCTTTATGTTCTCTTGCATTATTCCTTTGACATCGTTGACTTGACTTTTCAGCTGCTCGACTTGATCGCCGCTCTTTCCACTATTGAAGGAGTCCTGCGGAAGAATTTGAGTCGACTCATCGGCTAGAGCTCCTTTTTCTTCCTGCTTGTCTCCCTTGAACTCGGACAATTCATCGTTGAGGAATCCAAAGAAACGGAAACCACACTTTCCCACATATGGGGAATCTACAGGAAAAACTCACGAGGGTGTCCTTAAGAATCGCTTGGAATTCTCGGTCGAATTCGTGCTCTTCAGCGTTGTACGCCCGAGATGGCAGTGAAGTCAGGGTGAATCTGTCCGGAAGATGAAGTTCTCGAATGAGGAGCGCTGCCCGACAGAGGATATCGCGCGGAGAGGAAGACGAATTAAATCCCATCAGTCGAGAACAAACCTTTTCGAGAGCTCTGCGAGGAATAGGAACGGTAGACGGACGCCAGCTTCAGGTGTGGCACCGCAGCAAAACACCATCCCCGCTTGCACTTGGATGTGGAATTTGAAGCTGAAACAAATATGAGATCGATGAAGCGAGACTGCCGACATGGACCGGCGTAGCGCCAATCAATTTTTCACCCCTGTATGCATTTGGTGACCGATCGAACCGAATTTCGGAATTAGGGTCTGAATGTCCAGGAAAAAATTGATACAAACCCTCCGGCACTGAATGAGGTTTTCGTGTCCACCTCTGTGCTGAATGTGCACAGGAAATCCGTGAGGTATCTGCGAAAAACAGGCGGTCATTTTTCCTTCAGGTCGGTAAAGGTTCTTCAGGCTGTCCTCAAGAATGATGTCAAGTACATGGATGGAATCCGAGCCTCACCTTTCTGCATTTTCTGTCAGCCTGGGGTCTTGATGACTGACAAGAACTGTGTAGCCCCTACAAACGGCTCCGTACTGCAGTTGACTCATATTGAAGATTTCTGCGAAATGATTGGATTATCATTTAAGGGCTCGAAAGCTACCGGAAGTTTCAAGCGAACAGCTGCGGGTGCTTTCTGGACAGCTGCGGCTCTACCGATCACGACCCTCGCGGAAAGCGGCTGTTTTAGGAGCTCGGCATTCTTGAGCCAGTCCGTTAGAACTCTTCCCACACTAAATAGACATCTAGGAATCAAAACTCATCCACATCAGTCTCGGTCAGCATTGGTCACTTCCTAATCCGCTCAGATAAGAGTCATCGCAGTCCGAGGGAGTATCAATAGGATGACTAAGAATCTTCTAAAAGCGATTTTTTCCCAATCCTCTATTGGCGATGTATCATGATCGCTCACGCCTTGATTGCTATGAGCGTCAAGCAGCGGGGAACGATTCTCGATTCATCCGTCCACTCAAACATCAAGAGCCGGACAATGTCATCGAGTCGGATTTCACTGGCTCCTCAGAAATTCCCTCCTCTCTTGCCTTGGAAAAAACGGGAGGCTGGTTTGAGACGCTCCAACTCTCCAGATAAACGTAGGTTTCCAAAATATTGAGCCAGAGAAACATCCAGGATGGGCTTCGAGAAAATAATCGAATTCGGATAAGGACGTCGCTCGGCATTGTCCGGTCGAAAAGTTGGGAGCTTCGTTCTGATCGTTCTCATTGTGGAGCGGAGAGGAGTCCCTCACAAGTCACGGCGAGCAAAACACGTCGGTTTCCGCGATGACTCACGTATTTCGGATATTGCGGTGTGAGCACTGACGATACTGTCGCGCCTGGAAATCGTCTTCCCCCTGAGCTTGGATGTCGGCGCGACCCCTCTAAACATCGGGTCATTCTTATGCTCTCGGGGAGGTCCGGGGGACAGCTCCGGAGTCTCCCATTTCTCCAGAATCGAATGATTCTCCGACACACTCTAATCCCTGAAAATCGATAAACACGCATACTCACAGTTGAAACGGAAGAAGGAGCGAGATGTTGATACCTCCGGCGAATACCACAACACATGAACAACTTATTGAGATCGTTCCAGTCCTCGCGAATCCTTAAAATGATGCGTTGTCGATAAATGCCGAGGCTCCCTATGTAGTCAGGTGTTTGCGAATGGCACACACTGCTCGCTCTTTCCGTGTGTTTCGATTGAGAGAGGAGAACGGGCTCTCGGGAGGCAGTAGGCGACAGGGTTCCAGATCTGCTGATGTTGAACCGCGGAATGATATCGTAGGTCCTCTAGGGCGGAGCGATCCATAAACTCGAGGCAAGCAGCTCCGATAGCTTAGCTCAGAGCGCTCCGACTCAAATCGTGTTGCTGCCGGACGCGTGAAGAGGGGCAATTCATCCAGTCAGCCACATTTGACCGCAAGATGGCGGCTCCCGCCAAGAGAGCGACGAGAAAGAGAGCTGCCCCCCACCCGCCTTATTTCCCGTAAGGGAACCCTCATGCTGAGAAAACCCGGAAATATGACTGGAAGATTACGCTTGCTCTCCGGCTGTGCTTTCGACAGCTCCAATAGTTTTTCTCAAGTACCGCTACCGTGACAGGGTGCAGATACCGGATGAGCCTTCGGAGAGACCATCTCTCCGGGAACACAGCTGAATGAACTGGGATCGAAACGTGATACTGAGATATTGTGAATCCGTACGTAGATCATAAAATGATATGGCGAGACCGCGACAAACTCGAACGACTTAATTCTCAGCACGTAGATTGTGCTCGACAGCAGCTGTTGATAAGATTGCGCTACAGTCCTGCGGCATACGTGACACCAAATATGTACAACGGGTAGCAGCAATACACCTAAGGAAGAAGAGAGCTAGGAACTTCCGTGCTAGCGCTTATTCGGAAGCCTGGCTGCCCACGGCCCTCGAAGTAGGAAAAAGATCCGAGATATTCCTACAGGCGGAATCATGCGAAAGTGCGACGAAGGATTGGGAAACTGACCCATGCCCCCATAATTTTCGTTCCAAGTCGTTCCAGCTCGCTCGAGCGGCTACCGCCATCATCGTCCCACCTTCCTCCAGGATGCTCGCAACTTGCAGATCGGAATGTCTCGAATCGGACTTTCTGGCTCGTTTCACATCGAGATCTTCGGGAAGTTTCTCGGAATATTTACAGGGGGCCTGGTGGGCGCAACCATCGAATCTATCTCGGATCAGATCAAGAAGAATATAACGCAACCTCACAGCTTTCCGCGAATGTGGTGCGAGATTGGCGATAAAGGCTCCTCCGAGCGACGATTAGCCCCACCACGAAACGCGTTTGTGCGAAGCTTGCGAGACTAACAGGGTTGATACCTCGTCATCATTTATGCTCAATGAGGTCATTAGTCAGCATGAGTCATATCCTCCGGACTCTCCGAATAGAGGATTCTGGAGCTCACGGAGTGTCAGCTCGGGTACATTTCATATCCTGGCTCCGCCCTCGGAATTTCACCAAACCGGACCCGAATCGATGGTAACTGGAATCGCAAGCTGAGTTTCCAAAGTACAAGTGGCGGCCCGGAGAGATCGTCTGAACAGAGATCGAGATCGCCAGATTCGCTGGGAGTTTCGCTCTTCGCATCTCTTCGAAAGAAATCTCGGGAAAGTCATTTTCGGGTTTGGACTCGAGAAGAGTCCACTGAGCTTCTCTCTCCGAAATTGGCCCGATCTCCAACATTTGGCACCGCGGGAGCCTCAGGGTGCGAGCTTCCCGCACTGATTGCTTCTCTGCTGGTCTGTGCTCTCGATTGCCAAGGTGAATTTTTCTTTGCAAGTCTGTTCCTCGTTACTCTTCCCCCTCATTGATTATCCATACACAAGACACCTGAAGGTCTCCCGCGCTCGAACTAAATGAGAGAAGAGCAAGAATGCCACGAGCATGCTGAGTTATTCAAACATGCCGGAACGCTCATCTTTGGAAGAGATAGACAGCCAAAGGCCCTGGAGCAATTTTTTATTCATCGATTTCCAGAACTCAAAGTCCATGCAGACGTCGTGAAACCTGGCGTCGCTTTCCTCGCAACGGACCATCTTCAGGATCCTTGGGATCCTGCAGAGGGGGCACGTCCAGTGGCGACGTTTCCTGTCGAAGAATAAATTATGCGGCTTGTGAGGAGCTCACCGAGAAGAAACCCACAACATACGATGCTTACCTCCATAAGAGATTCGAGAGCATGGCATATGCTCCCGGAGTGAAGAACTTGCGTATAGTTGAGGGAAGAATCTCCTCAATCAAGATCTCCCGCAATCCTGCCGGAGATCTGGGCAGCTTCTTGCGGGTAATCGGCAGCAAGACCGTGCCCAGGTCGCTGCCCCCGAGGATCGCCCGCATGAATCTCGCCTCTTGGTCGCTGATCCTTCGCGACCAATGTTCATTTTTGCCCAGCAACGTTCGGAGGCTTCTCTTCTGACTGGGCGTCAAATCGAAGTTCAGTGCTTTCCTCTTGAGCACTCTGCGGACACGGAGCTCACCATTGTCCGCCGAGTCGAACCAGACCTCCCTCAATTGAGGCACGAAGGGAGTCGGCTCATAAGTCGTTGTTGAGATTCTCTCCATTGTGAACTTGAGCAATCGGATCAGCTGACGTGGAAACCTGTAAGTCGACCGTTCCATCTTGATACCGGCTCTGTGTGATCTCCAACCTCGAGCTACCCTCCCCATACGACTCTCTTCAAGGGGCAGGGGGCGGCTATAGAGAGGAAAGGCTGACTTGACTCGAACTTTCTGTGTAACCCCGCCGAAGGATGCCGAAGAGCATGCGGAGCGGCGCCTGATCTTCAAAGCATCCATTCACAACACCTACTTGGCGCATTCGTAATCGAAGTTCGCGATTGTCACGTTGCGATTTCTTGCTCATCCGCTAATCTCTCATTGGCGTCTCCACCTCTCCCGATTTAGATCACGATTTCATAGAACTTGAGGAAGAATCCGCCCCTGACCGTTTTGTCGCCCAGTCCTCAATCTCCGGATGCCACCGAGAGCGTATGAATATGGTTTACGCCATGTCGGGGTGAACTCGGGATCCTCGTTTGAGAAAGCAGCGTACATACATAAAGGAGACTTTCCAAAACTGACAGGAATGGATACGCGCTTCTGTCTGATTCGGATGCGCCATGGTGATCTTATATCCAAAATTGACACCTCTGGAGGTATTCTCCCGAATGAGATTTCCCGTCCGTGAAATGCGACCTCAGGGGGACGGGGTAGAGACTTTCCGAGAACATTTCATCATTCAATGATTGGAAAGAATGAAACAGAAAATGAGCGCCTCCACGATCCGCACACGCAAGACGAGCAATGATCGGGCACTTCTTCGCGGCTTCACTTCTCGGTGGGGCGTCCCCAGGTCCGCCTCACCTAAGGGCTTCGTATGATGAAAATAATATCAACTCGCAATAAGACAAGTCGAACACGTTTCTCGGATGAAGTTCTTACCTCCCGTCCTGATTCGGGAGCAAGACGTAAGCTTCTGCCGTGTACCCGGACATCGAATCGGAGAACCCTTTGAAGAATGATATATTACCGAGATGTGCAGGGAATAAGGGCATGTCTGGAAAAACTCCGACTCCTGAGTCACGGAGGGATGCACTTGTTACGTACCTCACGGAGTCTTCCTGCACAGTGCCATGGAGCTCGGGAGAGATCGGGATCGCTGCCAGGCAAGATGCATGTTTGCAAGCACTTGCATACACGGAGAAGATTTCGGGCGAGGTGGAGCGTAAGTTCGAATGTTGTCGTCTCTCGAGTCGTATCGACTTCATACCAGCGACGGTCCCTCTAAGCAAGGAAGTGAGCGGACACCTGTTCAGAAATCCTCATTCAACATTTCTAAGCGGAGAGATCCTGCTGAATGCTGGATGGGGAGTCGAATGATTCCAGAGCTGTCTACGATATTCAATACAGCTTGGCCGTCTCCGATGCGCTGCGTAGAGTCACCAGAGCGTATTATATCTTCACTTGACGCCGAACAAGAGAGCCGAGAACCGTGGCGTAGGGCGGAACAGACGTCATTTGCCTTGGTCTAGTGCTCAACGACGCGGTACTCGCGGAAATCCGATGAGACCAATGTGCGAAATTCTAGGCGTGTACACGAACGGGACAATCTTGTTTTTCGAATTTTCTCGTTCATGCGGCGACTCTCGCTAAATCCTTTCCATGAGGACGAGATGGTATGCCTCATGTACATTCGCTGCTGCGTATCATCTTCCCACGAACATCCATGCGCTCAAGAGAACAAGGAGCGGATTATTCGCCTTTATGTACAGACTTTTTCCACACGATCGTATGTACAGCTTGCAGTCGATGAAATTCAGAGGTACTTCTGTGATTTGCTCGGCGCGAAGCGTGATTGCAGGAGAGTCTTGTCCAACATTGATTTGGCTCGCGATGTGTCCACCATCGAAACTTTCATTTCATCTTCCCAGTTGAACGGTTTCCTGATCTGTGGCGGTAACACTCTATAAGCCTCATCCATCGGCGCCTGAACTCTGAGACCCAACGGGAATTTATAGAGAGCTCATCCGATGATTCTCCAGCGCACTGTCACAATTATTCCGTGGGGATTGTGATAGATAAGAAACCCATATACTTACCGCGCTAGGATCGCAATCGCTCTTGTCCTTCTTCTTCCTTTTTCCTTTTTCTTGTCTTTCTTGTGTTTTTTATCTTCGTGTTTGCTCTTCTTGTCTTTTTTCTTGGAGTTCTTCTCTTTGTGGATTTCAATTAGAGGTTTACTGCGCTTCGCGGCGTTGAACTCAGCGAGGTGCTCGTCGATCTCGGCATCCCGTTTCCTGGGAAAAACGCCATCAATCTTCGTTATGGGACTAAAAGGATGCATCGTGAATCGATGAAGAGCCTAATTACCTAGTCCACTATACAATTCCACGAGATGTTCTCGACTCTCGGAATGTCTGGAATGAGTACCTTTGCGCGAGCTCTTGTTGATGCTGCGCAGCTTTTCTGTCGTCTTCCGTTCTCGTGACTTCCTTTCCCGGAGCAGCAGTCCAAGTGTAATCCAGAACAATGTCCTAAAGAAAAGAGCCAGGTTTTCGCTCATACTCGTAGCGGTATCCCGGGAGCATCTCACGTGGAGCTCCGATGGGTGGGACTTATTGGTCTTCGGTGATAATTCAGTCC